CTGCTATGTTTTCAGCTGCAGGGTTAAAACTAGAGGGACCTGGCACCCAGACCACTTCATTGAGCTGATGTGATCTGGGTGTCTGTAGTGGTCCTTTAAGTGTATGTGTATCTGCATGCACTGGCGTACATACTGCAGTCGCAGGGGTCGCAGCCCTGCGACCCCTGCGACCAGGTGCCCGCCGCCATGTGTTGCTGCCCCAGCACGCACAGAGTAAGCGCGTGGGGGGACAGGGGCCCACGGATCAGTTTTCGCACTGGGGCCCCATGGGTTGTGTGTATGCCACTGTGTATTAGAACCTATTAGAATTTACTATGGGACCAATCTACTAAGCGCTTACATTTTCAATTCACTATGTGTTCTGAGATTTTAGGAAAAATCTTTTATGTGTTTAGCAGCTAATAATTTATTATAGTTTTACTATTATTCTCTATATTTTTTGTATTATTTGCGCTTTTTTTGTTTAACAATTTTATCTCTAATAATTACCTGCTTACCCAACTACCATGATGGTTTTTAAAAAAAAATTATTTTGTACTGTATGAAAATTACAATAGATCTCGTAGCACCACAACAGTGATAGCAAGCGTGTTAGATTACAGAAAAGAACAAATTGCATAAAATACGCAGATGCTTCCTAGAATACAATGTTGTCTGGCAACTGGAGGGTTCAGCACAATTTTGGAAATAAGGTGAAAATCAGGCTAAGCAAACATGCCATAAGAATGGTAAGACTTTCAAACATAAGAAAAAAAAGACAAGACATGTAGATAAGATTACTGAGAATTAAATGCTAAAGTACAAGAGTAATCGTCAGAAAAAGAATTGGAAAATAAAGGAAAATATGTAGTGTGTCAAAAGAATGAACAAATCAGTGGGTGCTATGGGTAAGAGAGATAGGGTGGTGGAGAAGAAGCTACCCCAAGTAGGTGTGCAGTGTTCCTTGATCCCATGGAACCAGTAGACCCTTCATCTGCTCTCTGTCTCGTGGCTTTGTGTGAGTTGCACCTGCACGGTAGATTCTGCTCTGTTGTGTCTTGTGATACTCGCCACTGCGGGCACCTCTATGATAGTGCGGCTTTAGGTGGAGCCTCCGGGGTTTCTGAGGTAAGGGAGGGGAAGGAATAGTGCAGGGGAAGGAATAGTGCCTGCTAATCGCTGAGGCCTCTGTTTCAGTAGTGGAACCCTCTCCAGCGCTGAACAGGGCCGGAGTGGGGATACACAGCAGCCCTGGGAAAAAAAATCTATGCCAGCCCCATAAGTCACTGCGCCATGTATTGTCACATGAAATACGTACGGCTTAGGTCGAAACGTTGATCCTTATTGGCAACACTTAATACATTTATTGTCTTTGAAAATCCACTGAGTGCTCTCATCATCATTATTTACCTTCATATATCCAGCGCAGAGCAGCACCTTGGTGTAAGTTTTTTCTATTACTTTAAGGGCTGAGTGCCAGACTTATTGCTTTAATTATATATATATATATATATAAATAAAATATGTGGGTATATATTACTTAATCATCTGGGGTGGCAAGACATGCATACATATATATAATTATATACCTTACATATTATTGGTGTGTGTGTATATATATATATACCATTTATTTTTCTAATATGGTGGGCAGGGGGGCTGTAAGGTGGGTAGGGGGACTGTGAGTGGTTATGAGGACTGTGAGTAGGTAGGGGTTCTGTAAGGTGGGTAGGGTGGATGTACGGTGAGTAGGGGACTGTGAGGTGGGTAGGGGGACTGTGACGTAGGTAGGGAGGCTGTATGGTGGGTAGGGGTTCTGTAATGTGGGTAGGGGGCTGTATGGTGGGTAGGGGGACTGTGAGTGGGTAGGGGACTGTGAGTAGGTAGGGGTTCTGTAAAGTGGGGAGGGGCTGGAAGGTAGGTAGGGGGACTGTGAGTGGGTAGGGGGCTGTGATTGGGTAGGGGGACTGTGAGGTGGGTAGGGGGGCTGTGAGTGGGTAGGGGACTGTGAGGTGGGTAGGGGGACTGTGAGGTAGGTAGGGGGGCTGTATGGTGGGTAGGGGAAGCTGTGGGGTGGGTAGGGGGCTGTGAAAAGGTAAATACCTTTAGTTTTCTGTAATTATTTCCTGGTGGTCCGGTTGGCAGCTTTCCAGCTCATACTAATACACACACTCTCTCACTGACATACACATGGTCAGTTACACACTCTTCACTCTTACTAACACCACACACAGTGTCACTTGCACACTCTCACACACACACAGTGTAACATACACATACTAACACAGTGTCACTTGCACACTCTCCCTAACACACACACTCACACTAATACACACTCTCTCACTGACATACACAGTGTCACCTACACACTCATACTAATCCACACACTCTCTCACTGACATACACAGTGTCACTTACACACTCTCACCAATTTACACATGGTCAGTTACAAACTCTTACTAACACCACACACATTGTCACTTGCACACTCTCTCACACACACAATGTCACTTACACATACTAACACAGTGTCACTTGCACACTCTCCCTAACACACACACCCAGAGTCACTTGCACACTCTCACTATTACACACACAAATGCCCAGTCACTTGCACATTCTCACTAACAGTGTCACTTGCAGACTCTCACTGACACACACACTCACACTAATACACACACTCTCACTGACATACACAGTGTCACCTACACACTCATACTAATCCACACACTCTCTCACTGACATAAACAGTGTCACTTACACACTCTCACCAACTTACACATGGTCAGTTACAAACTCTTACTAACACCACACACATTGTCACTTGCACACTCTCTCTCTCTCTCTCACACACACACACACACAGTGTCACTTACACATACTAACACAGTGTCACTTGCACACTCTCCCTAACACACACCGGTTATCACTTACTCACTCTCAATAATACACACACACACCCAGAGTCACTTGCACACTCTCACTATTACACACACACACCAGTCACTTGCAATCTCTTGTGAAACTTCTCCTCCATATTGCTGTAGCCAGGGGCGCTGTACGGGGACAAGCGTTGCCCTAATTATAAATCCACATGTTACCGATGTCTCCGAGCTGCTTGTCCTTGCACTAGGACACCATCCCCCCGCTTGCCACCAAATGTAACGGACCCTCCGTCAATCGATGCTCCTAGTGCTTACCAAGGACCATCAGCACTGCACCATAAGCACTGCAGACCCCACTAACCAACGCAGCTTGGTTGGGGTCTCGCCGTCCTCCACCCACCCTGGACCCAAGACCAGGATCCAGCTCCCAGTGGGTAGACCTCTCCTCCTCCAGAAAGCGTAGCAGGAACAAGCTCTTAAAAGAGCTTAGTGATTATAGCCAGGGGAGTATACAGTGTATAGCAATCCCCAGTGTAGATGCAGCCTTTTCTCCCACACATGAGACAAGGCTCTATGTTGATGGTAAAACAGGAACTCAGCAGTCTGAGGGTTTATTGTCTCTTATATGCTGTTTTTTCCCACAAGGTTACCACCTTGGACCTTGTGGAACACAGGATACAAAGTTACAAAGCCAATCAAAACAGGTTTGTACAGATAGACACTCCCAGATAATGTACACAAACTCTCCCCTCTGCCTGTGATACATTTAACAAACACAATGGACTAACTCAATTACCCACAGGCAGAAAACACACATTTTTTTACAAAACACTCCCAAAACACCACATAGCCCTGCTGGAGAACAATAGGACAGGAAAAAGAATGAAGGGAAGAGGCACATTTTCCCATAATCCTGGGGCAAAAGGCTGGCAAGCAGGCTCCTCCAAACCCCAGTGGCGAGGTTATTTTCGCCACATTCCCCTACACTGAATAGTCAAAAAATAACTATATCTGGACAGTCCAGACATTCCATGACAAAATTAAGCTACCAACCCCTAAAGATGCAAACCCTAGGTACCCAAATTACAAGCGAAGATGTAGACTTAACAGCAATATCAGTCTTTAAAAGTAATCCCCAGACCCAGATGGGTTCTACGGAATCTACTACAAAATCTTTAGAGAGGAACTGACCCCCACCTCCCCAAAGTCTGCAATAAATGGATGGAAGGGAGCACCCTAAACGCAGTCACACTAATCCCCAAACCAGATAGGGATGACACTCTAGACAAAAAAAACACAGACCTATCTCATTGATTAACTTGTAAAGATATTTGCAAAAATACTAGCCTCTAGACTAAACCCCCTCTTGGCAACATTAATACATTCTGACCAAGTTGGATCATACCCACAAGGCAACTATATGAAAACACAAGAAGGAGCAGTAATCTTATATGGTAGGCAAAAAGGAAACAAATGCCTTCTCCAGTTCTATCATTGGATGCCGAAAAGACGTTTAAACGAGTACAAGGGCATTACCTATTCGCACTCCTACAACAAATTGGAATGCCAATGTCATTTATAACAGCTGTTAAGGTCTTACACTCAGACCTGAGAGCAAAGACCTGCATCTTGGGATCAGTGCCCCATTCAAACTTATAAACGGCAGTGGGTCGACCTCGAAGCACTCCTAATGGGTACAGATCTACCGCAATTCTGGATCTAGATGCCTAATTTAGACAGACCGGACCAAAAATACTAACTGAAACACATTCCTCCCCTCCCCCCCTGCTGACCCCATAACTTATAAATTGATCTTTTGAGCTCGGGATGAGCACAAGGGACTTAAGGGAATAGAAGCCACAGGAGTACAACAGTACTACCAATTGTATAAAAACAACACATTCAGGTTGTTTGACAAACTGAAGACAATAGCACCCTTAACCACAAAAGACTATTTCCTCTACATTGAACTTAAAGACTTTGCTAGGGATCGACAGGTACAGGCGGAAGCAGCAAAAGCCCCATGAGATTCTACGAAAGATCATAGAAACCACTCATGACTACCACATATGCCCAGCTCAGCGCTCCAGCTGCAGACGAATGCAATCGATACATTGATCAATGGGAGGCAGATCTCTCACAAACGTTACAGGGAGAGGATTGGGTAGACATATGGGAGGCCACCACCCCCATTTGAATAACACTACAGGAAAAATCCTACAAAATGTTAATGAGGTGGTACACCAGCCCAGTAAAACAGTTTTGAATGGGAAAATCCACCATGGACGAATGCTGGAGGGAATGCCAGGAAAAGGGAACATTTGTACACATGTGGTGACCTGTCCAGAAATAGTTAAATTCTAGGTTCTTATCCAAAACCTCCTCAAAGATGTACTGAAACGAGAGATAGACTTGGTCATTCCTTCTGTCCAAGCCGACAGAGGGTCTCACCTCATGAGAACAGAAGCTCAAAAACAAACTCACATTGGCAGTTAGATGTGCTGTTGCCCAATCGTGGCTCAAAACCACAAAACCTACTCAGAAAGACGTAATTTTTTAAATAAAAGACAATTATTAATGGATAAACTACTGGTCCAAGTCCGAAACACAGAGTCAACGTTTAATAAGGTTTAGCAACCGTGGGAGGAGTACCTAGAATAATAACAGAATAGCTGTGATGAGAACGTGGGAGTCGCAAGAAGTGATGGATTTCGCCCCATCCCCTCAAGGAGGGATAGCCCACATTGACCTCCAACCTATCCCTACTCTCCTTTCCTTCTTCTCTCTATTCTCTCTCACTTCTAAGTAAACTTCAAAAACCAGAGCCAGGTAATGGTATTTAGCTCAACATCCTGGTAGCTGGAGAACGTATGTTGATACAAATTCAGGGGGAAATCGTATTATTATTCACACCGAACGTGGTTATCCACATGGTACAATAGGAAGTCAAACATGCTTTAGGAATGTAAATAATAACTATGAAACAACATACTACAAAATGTTTTACTTCAGTTGAACCCGGCATGGATGACAATGTCTCTTCTGTATTAACCTACATGTAATTGATATAGCTTCTCCACCATTGTACTTATACGTGCTGATTGCCATGTACACACCGGAATATAATGTAAATTGTACGCATGTATTATGCATGTTGAAGTGTGATGCATTGTTGTATATGTCAACCTGAGCTATTATATAAAGAATTTAAATAAAAAAACTGCATGCACAGAAAATCACAGTGGCAGACTACAGGTATAAATGGTAACACGTAATCACAGGATGACTAATTTATGTGAGGTTGAGTATCTTCCACGATTCCGTCACTACCTGAAAGTTGTAGGGAGATGAGAAATGGAGAGATTAAGTATTGCTTGGATTTGGGTGTGTGCCTTATGCACTTTACACCGGTTATCATATTACAAGATTACACAAGATAATTTAAAGTAGGACCTAGGAATATTTATGACAACACCTTTCCATGTTGACCAGTAATGTTTTACTCTTCTTTGAATGTCCTTTGTTTTCTCTCCTTGCTTTGTTGAAATGTCCTTGTATTCATTTCTTCTTCACGTACAACTAATGGAACGAAAAATAATGCAAAATAAAGAAACATTAAAAACAACTCGGCAGAAAAATACAAAGTGTATGTAAAAATTTCAACATAAATTTAACACCAGAAACTTTTAAAGAAATGGTGAAAAAAATGGCACCTCAATAAAGCTCAAAATATATCAGTCGCAATGGTGTTCACGTTTGCAAATGATATGCATTAATTAAGTAATTTAAATACGTGGGCTACTTAAATGGCCCAAAATGTATCGTACACCCCTTTTATTTAAAAAAAAAAAAAGTGACAAGGGTATATGAATGAGATCATTCTGTATTGAGAAGATATACATGAGCACAATTTAGTGATTTTTATTACAATATCACGTATCAAGTATACAAAGTGAACTGCTAAATTGCAATGTGCATGTAAAACAAAATCAAGTAATAAAATAATTAAAATATACTATATGATATACTATACCATATGTAATGTCTACTTTCACAAATGGTATGCATTTATGATGTAGTTTAAACTGTCAACCTGCTACAATGCCACAAAATGCAGAATAGGCCCATAAAAATTATATTTTTATAGATTCTAACTGTAAAAACTGATATTGTCATGTCTCTTATAGAGCACTGTAATTGGGCATGGTAGTGCCAAAGGCAAACATTGGGGGTTTATTGTTTAATTCAGAAGAGTTTGCTGACCATGATTTGGGAGGGGGGTTTGATCACAGTGGCACATATCAGATTTGAAATATGCCCGGTTAAAATGTAATATGCATGGAAACAAATGTTTATATAAACTGGTGAAAAAATGGCTACATGTTAATGCACAATATAAACCATATGAGATGCCCTTTCACAAATAGTATGTGGATTAATTTGAAAAATCAAACTGCTATAACGACCCAATTGAGCCATAAAACCATGAAATCTGTCTCTGAAATTCTAACTGGGAAAACTGAAATGGTCCGGTCTCTTATATAGCATTGTAGCTTCAATGGATAGTGCCAAAGGCATACAATGGGGGTATCTTTGTATTCAACAATACCCCAATATTGAACGCAATATGGTGTTTTGCTGTTAAATGGCTACATAATATGTGTTAAAATACCATTAGGTAAATAGCCTGTGATGTCTACTTTATATAAATAGATACTTTTGTGTGGCAATTGTTTTCTGGGATGGCTATTTCAATTAGAAGACATACATACCAAATTCCGAAATAGCTCCAAATTGAACTTTTATTTACCAAAAAGTACCAAACTACCAAAATAAACTAAAAATCCTAGACTTATTTATGTATTTATTTTGAATTAGTTTTCATAAGCTGCACTAATTATTCACACAATATTACTGTAAAAACTGTGAAAAAATATATATATATTTTGCAAGTTTGTGTATTTTTTTTATCATAAATGAGAAGATGTATATGTATATGTCACTTCAAAATAAAACCCTTTCTGTCCTTTAACAAACAATACATAATATGTATGGAGGCACTTGTAGAGAAACCCTTAGATTACGCTAACACAAACCTTTAGCTCAAATTCAAGGTTTTGTTTTGGTGCAGAAGGTGGACACTGTAGGCACTATAACCATTTGATATAATTGAACTATTTATAGTGTCTGGCGTCCCCTGGTTAGTGCCAGATTAAATTAAGTGCTAAGGGACCCTAAGCTCCAAGTCCATGCACATGGTATAGGCCCATTGCTAAAAAAAAAAAATTTAATTTTACTGCTCTTCACATGCACTTATGCTATAAAGTTGTGCAGAGGGAATTAAGTTAAGTATGGGAACTTACAAGGGTTGCAGGGGAACAAAACATGTGTGGATTGGCTGACTGTAAAATAATTAAAGGGACACTGAAGTCACCAGAACAATTACAGCTTAATGTTAATGATACAATCTATAAGGAGATGCTGATTGGCCAGGTTTCATCATCAGAATGATAGGAAAGCATTGTGATTGGCTGAGATGATCAATTCTGATGATGTCAGCCAACGATCGGGGGCAGGGCCATATGCGAGGACCCCTGCTCGGCGCTGGAAAAAGGTGAGTAAATCACCTTTCTCACCGGATGTTAGGATAGGCCAGCCACTTAAACAGTGGTTTTAGAACTATAGTGTCAAGAATACTAGTTTGTGATCCTGACACTATAGCGGTCCTTTAATGTAAAGCTGACGTTGCCCATTGTGCAAATGCCCTTGCTGCTTCTCTTTCTCTAGAAGGCACGTCCCATTTCTGCTACATTCACTACATCCACCTCTTTCTCTGTCCCAGACAGCATACCAGAAGCAACCAAAAATGCAGGAAACAAATCACTAATAACCCCAAAATGGGAGCAAGTGATGAGGAATACTTACTAAAAGTAAGCTTAAGCTTTTAAAAATTATATTAAATTATAAGACATACATTCACATGGAAGAAACCAAATGATTCTAAGCTGGATAAAATTAAAATCATTAGGAGCAACAATACCTCATGTGTATTGATTATGTATCATTTGGTATGATCGGAAGAAGATCATAAAAGACCTTCCAAGCATTAATGTGGGACTTGGGGAGGCCCAATTTAGGCAATATGGCCTTATAAGCAGGGCCGGACTGGCCCACCGGGAAATTTCCCGGTGGGCCGTCGGCACCTGGGGCCGGGCAGCCAGCTGGCTCACCTGCGGCCGCAGAGGGAGCTCCTTTGGCGGCCGCAGGGTTTGCTGGCTGTTCTTGCGGCCGCAGGGGTGTAGCGTTACTTACCTTAACCGGGGGCCGGTCGCGGTCCTCTCTTCAAGCCGCGCGCGGTCCTGCGGCTGCACGAGCCGCGCGCGGCTCATCCAACTACTTCGGATGGAGGGCGGGCAGTGACCGCGTGAGGCGGTCACGTGTCCCGCCTGAATCTAAGAGCGCGCCGCGAGTCTTGGGCGCGCTCTTAAAGGGACAGTGGGTGCCTAAATTGGAAAAGGCATCCCATTGGTCCCTGTCATGCCACACTCCCCATACACTTACCTTTTGGGGGCGTGGATATGACAGGGACCAATCAAATTAGATGCTTAGGTATTTATACTCACCTTCTTCCCTTTGTTCCTTGCCCTATCGTGGTTTCTGTTTCAGTTCCCTTTAGCGCTTGTAGTGTTCAGTTGTGTTTTCTCGTATTGACTTTGGCTTCGTATTCTGACTTCGTTTTCGCTTTATCCTTATCTGTACTGTTTGCCGGCTTGCTGTTTTCCGTGTACCAGACCCCGGCTTGTCCTAGTTTACGCTGTCTCTCTGTGCCCTTGACCTCGGTTTGTTCCTGGCTCTGTCTTCTCTCATATACGTCAAGTCCGGCCATTCTAAGGTCCGGTAGACGTATCTCTCCTCTGTATTTGCCTCTGTTTAGCTGGATCCTGCGTGTAGGGGTATATTCTCGTTACATTACGATAGGGCCATGGACCCCGCAGATTTAGCTCAACAGATGGCGTCCCATGAGGCAAGATTTGTAGAGCAGGATCATCGTATGGATCAAATAGCTCAGGCTCTCCAGACGCTCCTAGCTAGAACCGTTCCCGCAACTACACCTAACCCTCCTACGCCCCTTCTCCCTGAAGTATCTACTTTGCCTAATACTTCGGCCCATTTAACACCTCCTCCTAGGTATGGAGGGGACTCTAAGACTTGCAGAGGGTTTATTAATCAGATTGAATTTCACTTTGAAATGTATCCACGTTCATTTCCCACAGAGAGGTCTAAGGTTGGGTTCTTTATGCACCAACTTACCGATAAGGCACTTGAGTGGGCAAATCCTATTTGGGAAGCTAATGGGCCTATGGTACATGATTTCAACAGTTTTCTTACGGCTTTTCGTAGAACTTTTGACACAATGAAAAGGTCAAAGAATGCCGCAAGAGCATTAATGAGAATTAAACAGGGTTCTAGGTCTGTGGCTGATTATGCTATTCAGTTTCGCACTCTTGCTTCGCAGGTAGATTGGACCAACAATGGGTTAACTACTGCCTTTATGGAAGGTTTGTCAGATACGATATTGGATGAGGTAGCAGCTAAGGAGCTTCCTATTGCCTTAGAGGACCTTATCGATTACCTCATCGATATTGATAATAGAATTCGTGACAGGCTCTATACCAAGAACAGGAATAGACGTTTTGTTACACCCATTAACCCCAGAGTTAATATACCAGAGAGTGTTAAAGTGTCTGAGGAGGAACCTATGCAATTAGGGGTTGCCAAACTCTCTGACACTGAGAAATTACATAGGAGAAGGGAGGGACTCTGCCTATACTGTGGTAGGAGAGACCATATGGTAAAGGAATGTCCTTTACTCCCGGAAAACTCTCGCACCTAAGACCTTATAGGGGACTGGCCTTGGGTGTGATATCTAAGTCTCCTAAATTGCCTCCTAACCGCTTGCTTCTCCCGGTTTCTTTATATATGGGAGAGATTTGTATAGTTGACAACATATATGCTCTGGTTGACTCTGGGGCAGCTGAAAATTTTATAGACTCTGGCTTTATAAAGAGAAACAACATTCCCATCAGAGAGAAGGAGATACCCTTGGCCGTTGAGGCCATAGATGGTAGACCATTAAGTTCTCCAGTTGTTACTCATGAGACTGAACCACTACACATGTACACAGGGGTTTTACACTACGAAACCATTCGATTCCAGGTTATCACCTCTCCCTCTTCACAGTTAGTATTAGGGTATCCATGGTTACGTGCTCACAATCCCATTTTTGACTGGGAGACAGGGCAAATAAAATCATGGAGTAAGGCCTGCCACGAGTCTTGTACGTTGGAAGTCACACCTTTGAATTCTATTGAGGTACCTACCAGTCCTCCTTTGTCTATGGTTATACCCCCTCAGTATTTATCTCTAAAGACTGTTTTCGATAAAAGGGAGGCTGAGAAATTACCGCCTCACAGACCCTATGATTGCGCTATTGACTTGTTGCCTGGCACTATACCTCCAAAGGGCAGGGTGTACCCCTTATCGGTTCAAGAAAACCGTGTTATGGAGGAGTACATCAAGGAATCATTAGAAAAAGGGTTTATTAGGAGATCCTCTTCTCCAGCTGGAGCAGGGTTCTTCTTTGTATCGAAGAAAGAAGGTGATTTAAGACCGTGTATAGATTATAGAGGTCTAAACAAAATCACTATCAAAAATGCATACCCTATACCTTTGATTACAGAATTATTTGACAGGCTGAAACATGCCACTGTGTTCACTAAATTAGACCTTAGGAATGCATACAATTTGATACGTATAAAGGAAAATCACGAATGGAAGACTGCATTCAACACTAGATCCGGTCATTACGAATACACTGTTATGCCATTTGGGCTTTGCAATGCCCCAGCAGTATTCCAAGAGTTTATTAATGATGTATTGAGAGATTTTATTCACACATTTGTTATCGTATACTTGGACGACATTTTAATATATTCTGCAGATATACACACTCATCACAGACATGTTACGACAGTTTTGAAGACCCTTCTTGCTAATGGTCTTTATTGCAAGCTAGAAAAATGTCTGTTTGACCAAACCGAAGTCCAGTTCTTGGGGTATTTGATTTCCGCTAAAGGTTTTCGTATGGATCCCCAGAAGCTAGCTGCTGTAATAGAATGGCCTCTACCGCAAGGTCTGAAAGCTATTCAGCGTTTTCTTGGGTTCTCCAATTATTATAGACGTTTTATCAAAGGTTTCTCGTCCATTGTAGCACCTATTACCCGTATGACTAAAAAGGATGGCAATACTCGTGTTTGGTCTACCGAGGCACTTCAGGCTTTTGAATTTCTTAAAACTACGTTCGCCTCTGCACCTATTTTACAGCATCCTGTCCCCTCACTGCCCTATATACTTGAAGTTGATGCTTCGGATATTGGGGTAGGTGCTGTCTTGTCCCAAAGAGAGTCGCCTGAGAAGCCATTGCATCCATGCGGCTTCTTTTCTAAACAAATGTCCAAAGCAGAGAAAAATTATGATGTGGGTAATCGTGAACTCCTTGCTATTATTTTAGCACTTAAAGAGTGGAGACATTTGTTAGAGGGAACTAAGGATCCTATCCTCATTTTTACGGATCACAAGAACCTATCCTATCTTAGCGAAGCCAAAAGATTGTCTTCCAGGCAGGCTAGGTGGTCACTATTTTTGTCCCGTTTCAATTTTATTATCACCTATAGGCCAGGTGATCGCAACACTAAAGCAGACGCTCTGTCCAGACAGTTCGAAACTACTGACAAACAGGAGATTGATGTTACTCCTGTCATTCCCCCAGACAGGATAATAGCTACTACTATTTTGTCTATTTCCTCGTCCCTCTTGCAGGCCATACAAGCGAAACAAAGCATGGCACCTAGCGAGAGGCCTAATGATAAACTGTTCGTTGATGTTCCTGAGAGACGGGATATCATGTCATTATATCATGATACTAAGACCGCTGGACATCCTGGTATTTCCAAAACGGTGTCAGCTGTTTCTCGGTATTTTTGGTGGGATTCCTTACGAAAGGATGTCACTGACTATATAAGTGCTTGTACTACTTGTGCCTGTATGAAATCCTCCCGTAGAGTTCCTTGTGGGCTGTTGCATCCGTTACCCGTTCCCGAGAGACCTTGGTCTAACCTGTCCATGGATTTTATTGTTGAATTACCCCCTTCAAATGGTAACACAGTAATCCTGATGATAGTGGATCGGTTCTCCAAAATGGCTCACTTCGTGTCTCTTCGCAAGTTGCCCACATCCAAGGAACTGGCTCATATCTTCGCTAGAGAAGTATTTCGATTACATGGGATTCCCGTATCTATTGTATCCGATAGGGGTAGCCAATTTATTTCCAGGTTCTGGAGGGCCTTTTGTTCAGAAATGGGTATTTCTCTCTCATTTTCTTCCGCTTATCATCCCCAGTCTAATGGGGCTGCTGAACGTGCCAACCAGTCTCTGGAGCAATACCTCCGTTGTTTTGTGTCTCACCATCAGGACAATTGGTCTGACCTGCTTCCTTGGGCTGAATTTGCTCGGAATAACGCCACTCATGATTCTTCCGGCAAGAGCCCTTTTTACGTTGTCTATGGCCAGCATCCCGTTGTTCTTCCGGCTGCATTCTCCTCACAGGGCATGCCAGTTCTGGATGAGCATTTGGCTGGTTTGCGTAATACTTGGGAGCAGGTTCAGCGTTCTTTGGTGGACTCTGCTACTCGCCAGAAGGCTCAGGCTGACAAGCATCGCAGAGCAGCTCCGTCCTATGTTGTGGGGGACAGGGTTTTGCTTTCCACGCGGAATATTCGTCTCCGGGTGCCTTCTATGAAATTGGCTCCCCGCTTCATTGGACCTTATCGTATTATACATAAGGTTAATCCTGTTTCTTATGCCTTAGGCCTGCCTAAGAATCTACGTATTCCTAATGTTTTTCACACCTCATTGTTGAAACCTTTCGTACGCAACCGCTATACCCGGCATACTCCTCCTCCCCCTCCTATCTCGGTGGAGGGTCATGAGGAGTTTGAAGTGTCTGCTGTTCTTGACTCTCGTTTCCTTAGGGGTCGACTTCAGTACTTGGTACATTGGAAGGGTTATGGGCCTGAGGAGCACAGTTGGATTTCGGCCGATGCTGTCCATGCTCCCCGCCTTGTGCGCTCTTTCCATTCACGTTTTCCTGCCAGGCCTGGTCCTACCCGCCCGGGGGGCGTGTCCTCAGGGGGGGGTACTGTAGCGTTACTTACCTTAACCGGGGGCCGGTCGCGGTCCTCTCTTCAAGCCGCGCGCGGTCCTGCGGCTGCACGAGCCGCGCGCGGCTCATCCAACTACTTCGGATGGAGGGCGGGCAGTGACCGCGTGAGGCGGTCACGTGTCCCGCCTGAATCTAAGAGCGCGCCGCGAGTCTCGGGCGCGCTCTTAAAGGGACAGTGGGTGCCTAAATTGGAAAAGGCATCCCATTGGTCCCTGTCATGCCACACTCCCCATACACTTACCTTTTGGGGGCGTGGATATGACAGGGACCAATCAAATTAGATGCTTAGGTATTTATACTCACCTTCTTCCCTTTGTTCCTTGCCCTATCGTGGTTTCTGTTTCAGTTCCCTTTAGCGCTTGTTGTGTTCAGTTGTGTTTTCTCGTATTGACTTTGGCTTCGTATTCTGACTTCGTTTTCGCTTTATCCTTATCTGTACTGTTTGCCGGCTTGCTGTTTTCCGTATACCAGACCCCGGCTTGTCCTAGTTTACGCTGTCTCTCTGTGCCCTTGACCTCGGTTTGTTCCTGGCTCTGTCTTCTCTCATATACGTCGAGTCCGGCCATTCTAAGGTCCGGTAGACGTATCTCTCCTCTGTATTTGCCTCTGTTTAGCTGGATCCTGTGTGTAGGGGTATATTCTCGTTACAAGGGGGAGCTGGCTGTTGTGTCTCTGCTCCCCCTCCCCAGCGCGCTACAAAGAGACCGGGGCCGGAGTATGACGTCATATTCCAGCCCCGGTCTCATTAAGCGGCACGCAGGGGAGGGGCAGCAGAGACACAACAGCCAGCTCCCCCTGCGGCCGCAAGAACAGCCAGCAAACCCTGCGGCCGCCAAAGGAGCTCCCTATGCAGCCGCCAGCCGCCAGT